TGTGTGTGTGTGTGTGTGTGTGTGTGTGTGTGTGTGTGTGTGTGTGTGTGTTTGCTTAAAGTTATCTTTTTAAAAGAAGATTCAGAATCAGGGTTTGGACCTGTATGTCCCAAGATCTTTGTTTTTCTAAAATGCAAATATAATTAAAATGATCTGGGTAACTTTACAGCTCACTCTATCACCGGCTCAATTCTTGTCACCTTACCCAAGGATTTCTAGATATGGCTGTTAAGAAAAAGGTATTTTTTTCTTCAGTGGCATAGCCATCTACAAGTTGCCCAAGCTCCTGCGATTAGCTCTTTATTCATGCTCCTGTAAGTTTGATCCTATTAAACCACTGGTGTTCACACTGCATTTGAGTGGAGTCATTTCTTTATTTCTGTCATTGTGCTCCACCTGGGATGAGTAGACATTTGTTCAAGTCTCCTCAGAAAAAGTCCACCCAACAAGGCTGCATCTAGTACTTGTATGCCTTTGAAGCTACAGGCACTGATTGCCTCTGGAACACCTCCCTCCTACTGACTGTCAGCTCTGAGTGACTTCAAGTTCCTCCCAGTGTTAAGGTTCAATCTCACATAAAGAACTTCAAGCCGAGAACATGAACACCCTGTGTCAGACACATTTCTATGATCTCTCCTTTCTTGGGAACCTCTGTGCCCATAAAGAAAGGTCTGTGTTATGTGAGGGCCTCCTGCTACATCTTACTGATCTAACTCTCTGCCACTTCTTAAGAGAGACAGGGCTATTATCTGTCAGGGTTAATGCCTTTCAGCAAAAGAGAGTACCAGTAAACATAGCTAAATAGGTTTTACTTGGCATCACTAAATATATTGTCACACAGATATGATGGCTTCCTTTCTTTCCTGGGTTGCTAATCACATCTCTCCTCCCAGAATATAGTAGACAGATAAGATATGATGTAGCTAGATACCATATGCCTCCTCTGTGGAACACAACACCTGACCTGTGACTAATGTGACTTAAAAAAAAAAACTGGACTTGGCTCTGAATGAGTAGCTAGATCTGCCCATTTATAAAATAGGAAGAGACACACAGTGAATCCCCTGCATGAGGACAGAGGATAGCATCAGTAAAAGCCTCAAGTACAAACAGCATACTCATGAAGAACAGAAATGCAATGAAGGGGAACCAAACTGGTTTCAACAGACGTGAGAGATACCTCAATCAACCACAATGTGTGCGCATCGCTCAGACACAACTTATTTGAACAAAACAACTATTAAAAATTCATGAGGCAAACTGGAAGATAGCACTAGATATTTGCTATCGTCAGAAATTGTTGATATGTTTAGTTTTTATAGTGGTTCTGCAGTTATGCTCTGAAAAGAAATTCTTTTATTTGAGAGATAAATATCAAATCTTTATGTGGATGATGTCTGGGGATTGTTTCAGAAAAAGTCAATGGAGAGAGAAGTAAGGAATACAGATGAAACAAGACAGACTGCATCCTGATAACTGATGAAGTGCAATGAGAACGTGAAAGCCCAGGCAGGAAGATTTCTTATATGCTTAACGATGTTCACAACAAATGGCCTCAATAACATCCTCTTAAATTCATGAACAACATCCAATAAAAATCTCACCAGTGACCACGAGTCAGTACTGTTGTAGTGTTACAGGAATAAAATCATTTAAATAATTGTAAGTGCCTAAAGGAGAGAGGTACATGGGTGTTATTGGTAGAATTTGCATATGTCTCATACGTTCTTGGTATGTACCAAATGTCATACAAATTTTCAAAAGGGATAGAAACAAAGGCATGGGTATTTTTTAAATCTCATTGTTTGAAGAAAGAAAAGTCAACATGTCACCATTTGACACATGGCATTTTCCCTGTGTTGGGTTAAGAGTATCTTCTCAACTACTCCTGATCATATTAAAAGCATGTACACATGTTTTCTATCAACAGGATCAATAATTTGATAAGGTACAAATATAGAGAGATGGCATCTCACCCTGTGGATGAAGAATATATGTTATAACCATGTCATGTCTCTTACCCCGTGGGCCCTGAGTCCCTGGTAAACCATGAGGACTGGGGCATGGAAGAAAGAGGAGTATGTATGACTCTCACATGCTGTCGCTCAACAGCATGGCTTCTGCCACAACACATAATTGATACCTAAGACCAAGTGTGTTTGCCTATGGCATTTTTTTAGTATATAGGCTTATTATCAGGTAGAGTAGCATTCTCTAATAATGGCTGTAGCTAGCCATGTTACACTAGAGGATGTTAGAGCCTGCAGAGGGAGCCCTTGTACTAGGAGACAAGGAACAGAATAGTCAAGTCTGGTGTTTCTTTTGGTAACCACTTCACCAACTTGGTAATCCCCCATCTTAAGCTTTAGAATTATCTGCCTCCCCTCCCTCAAGAAAAGCACAGTTTAAATGGCCTTCCCTTTTCATTTGCCACAAAAAGGACTCTAGACGGGAGACATCTCTATCTCCTTGGAACGGCCAAGTTTAAGCCTGACTACAGACCTTGTTCCTGAGGATGAATCTAGTGAAGGTTTTAGCTACCATAACCTTGTAGAGTGGTTTCGTTTTGACTCCTCTAAAAACAAGCGGGTTCTTATGATGGTGACAGTGTGCATAGACTAAAAATTTTATTTTTCTACAGAAGAAAGCAAAAAAGATTTACCGGCTACTCCTACATGCACCTTTTGCACCCATCAGCAAATCTTTGCTGGAATTTATAATAAAATTATTATTACGAATAATAATGGACATTTATGAAGTTTATTATGCAGCAAATAATTTCACTCATTATCTTAATAAACCCGTGAACATCAGCTTACTACATTTAATAGATAAGGAGTTTGAGGCTTCAGAGAACATAGGACATGCCCAAACCTATATAGCTTGGTGAAATTCAAAGCCAGTGTGACTCTCAGAGCCCATTTCCGATTTTACGTCTGCCAAAACCAGATATAAAAGGGTCACTGTCTCCGGAGACTTTTCCCCATCTCCTATTTAATGCAGAGACCATGGCTGTGCAGTTGTAAACGTCTTTTTCTTACATCAAGTCAGCCATATTTTCAAGGAAAAACTAGCAGCAGCAACAACAACAAAAATATCTCAAATTATAAAACTCTCCCTGGGTTATAAAAGGCCATGCCACCTGCATAAGTGTGTGGCTGTCTCGGGCTTCCCTTACTGTCCCCCTTCCCTTCACTGCCATTCCTGATTCTGTGGTTTACCCCAAACTTTACAGTGATTGAATCCTGGATCACCTATCTAGACAAGTCCTTCATTTTTCTTTCC